AGTATTTGGAAGGCCATGTAATTTACCTCAATTTAGGATAGACTCTCGAATTTTGAGGAGTCAAATTAGGATGAACGGATCATATAAACCCAAAGGCAAATATAATACAAGCCCAAACGAAAAAATATAAAGAGGTCTAAATTGAAAACAACGTTCAAACCTATGATTGCGTTGGATAAAAACCGCAATTTTTATACGTGTGCATGCAAAAACAAATTTCTTGTCAGAGGGGTCTAAATACAGCACAAACAACATTTCCAAAAGACCAAAAAAGTGAAAAAGTATATTTTAACAAAACGCATTTGACTTACAGGTCGAACAACAAATGTTCTTAAACCCTGCTGACTGCAATTGGCGATTGCCAAATAAACGGATCACAAGGTGTAATAAATGGATCTTAATTAAAAAGTTAATACCAAACAGAAAACAATAAACTTGCGGCAAAGATGGTATACCGCAAACAAAGGTGCAAAGATTTTTGTACACAATATCCGGATTTCGACAATTAATGTCTCTTCAGTGATGTTAGGAATCGAAACAGTATTTGGAAGGCCATGTAATTTACCTCAATTTAGGATAGACTCTCGAATTTTGAGGAGTCAAATTAGGATGAACGGATCATATACACCCGAAGGCAAATATAATACAAGCCCAAACGAAAAAATATAAACAAGTCTAAATTGAAAACAACGTTCAAACCTATGATTGCGTTGGATAAAAACCGCAATTTTATACGTGTGCATGCAAAAACAAATTTCTTGTTCGAGGGGTCTAAATACAGCACAAACAACATTTTCCAAAAGACCAAAAAAGTGAAAAAGTATATTTCAACAAAACGCATTTGACTAAGGGGTCGAACAACAAATGTTCTTAAACCCTGCTGACTGCCATTGGCGATTGCCAAATAAACGGATCACAAGGTGTATTAAATGGATCTTAATTAAAAAGTTAATACCAAACAGAAAACAATAAACTTGCGGCAAAGATGGTATACCGCAAACAAAGGTGCAAAGATTTTTGTACACCATATCCGGATTTCGACAATTATTGTCTCTTCAGTGATGTTAGGAATCGAAAGAGTATTTGGAAGGCCATGTAATTTACCTCAATTTAGGATAGACTCTCGAATTTTGAGGAGTCAAATTAGGATGAACGGATCATATAAACCCAAAGGCAAATATAATACAAGCCCAAACGAAAAAATATAAACAAGTCTAAATTGAAAACAACTTTCAAACCTATGATTGCGTTGGATAAAAACCGCAATTTTTATACATGTGCATGCAAAAACAAATTTCTTGTTAGAGGGGTCTAAATACAGCACAAACAACATTTTCCAAAAGACCAAAACAGTGAAAAAGTATATTTTAACAAAACGCATGTGACTAACAGGTCGAACAACAAATGTTCTTAAACCCTGCTGACTGCCATTGGCGATTGCCAAATAAACGGATCACAAGGTGTATTAAATGGATCTAAATTAAAAAATTAATACCAAACAGAAAACAATAAACTTGCGGCAAAGATGGTATACCGCAAACAAAGGTGCAAAGATTTTTGTACACCATATCCGGATTTCGATAATTGATGTCTCTTCAGTGATGTTAGGAATCGAAACAGTATTTGGAAGGCCATGTAATTTACCTCAATTTAGGATAGACTCTCGAATTTGGAGGAGTCAAATTAGGATGAACGGATCATATAAACCCAAAGGCAAATATAATACAAGCCCAAACGAAAATATATAAACAAGTCTAAATTGAATACAACGTTCAAACCTATGATTGCGTTGGATAAAAACCGCAATTTTTATACGTGTGCATGCAAAAACAAATTTCTTGTTAGAGGGGTCTTAATACAGCACAAACAACATTTTCCAAAAGACCAAAAAAGTGAAAAAGTATATTTTAACAAAACGCATTTGACTAACAGGTCGAACAACAAATGTTCTTAAACCCTGCTGACTGCCATTGGCGATTGTCAAATAAACGGATCACAAGGTGTATTAAATGGATCTAAATTAAAAAATTAATACCAAACAGAAAACAATAAACTTGCGGCAAAGATGGTATACCGCAAACAAAGGTGCAAAGATTTTTGTACACCATATCCGGATTTCGATAATTGATGTCTCTTCAGTGATGTTAGGAATCGAAAAAGTATTTGGAAGGCCATGTAATTTACCTCAATTTAGGATAGACTCTCGAATTTTGAGGAGTCAAATTAGAATGAACGGATCATATACACCCGAAGGCAAATATAATACAAGCCCAAACGAAAAAATATAAACAAGTCTAAATTGAAAACAACGTTCAAACCTATGATTGCGTTGGATAAAACCGCAATTTTTATACGTGTGCATGCAAAAACAAATTTCTTGTCAGAGGGGTCTAAATACAGCACAAACAACATTTTCCAAAAGACCAAAAAATGAAAAAGTATATTTTAACAAAACGCATTTGACTAACAGGTCGAACAACAAATGCTCTTAAACCCTGCTGACTGCCATTGGCGATTGCCAAATGAACGGATCACAAGGTGTAATAAATGGATCTTAATTAAAAAGCTAATACCAAACAGAAAACAATAAACTTGCGGCAAAGATGGTATACCGCAAACAAAGGTGCAAAGATTTTTGTACACCATATCCGGATTTCGACAAATAATGTCTCTTCAGTGATGTTAGGAATCGAAACAGTACTTGGGAGGCCATGTAATTTACCTCAATTTAGGATAGACTCTCGAATTTTGAGGAGTCAAATTAGGATGAACGGATCATATAAACCCGAAGGCAAATATAATACAGGCCCAAACGAAAAAATATAAACAAGTCTAAATTGAAAACAACGTTCAAACCTATGATTGCGTTGGATAAAAACCGCAATTTTTATACGTGTGCATGCAAAAACAAATTTCTTGTTAGAGGGGTCTAAATACAGCACAAACAACATTTTCCAAAAGACCAAAAAAGTGAAAAAGTATATTTTAACAAAACGCATTTGACTAACATGTCGAACAACAAATGTTCTTAAACCCTGCTGACTGCCATTGGCGATTGCCAAATAAACGGATCAAAAGGTGTAATAAATGGATCTTAATTAAAAAGTTAATACCAAACAGAAAACAATAAACTTGCGGCAAAGATTGTATACCGCAAACAAAGGTGCAAAGATTTTTGTACACCATATCCGGATTTCGACAATTAATGTCTCTTCAGTGATGTTAGGAATCGAAACAGTATTTGGAAGGCCATGTAATTTACCTCAATTTAGGATAGACTCTCGAATTTTGAGGAGTCAAATTAGGATGAACGGATCATATAAACCCAAAGGCAAATATAATACAAGCCCAAACGAAAAAATATAAACAAGTCTAAATTGAAAACAACGTTCAAACCTATGATTGCGTTGGATAAAAACCGCAACTTTTATACGTGTGCATGCAAAAACAAATTTCTTGTTAAAGGGGTCTAAATACAGCACAAACAACATTTTCCAAAAGACCAAAAAAGTGAAAAAGTATATTTTAACAAAACGCATTTGACTAACAGGTCGAACAACGAATGTTCTTAAACCCTGCTGACTGCCATTGGCGATTGCCAAATAAACGGATCACAAGGTGTAATAAATGGATCTTAATTTAAAAGTTAATACCAAACAGAAAACAATAAACTTGCGGCAAAGATGGTATTCCGCAAACAAAGGTGCAACGATTTTTGTACACCATATCCGGATTTCAACAATTAATGTCTCTTCAGTGATGTCTGGAATCGAAAAAGTATTTGGAAGGCCATGTAATTTACCTCAATTTAGGATAGACTCTCGAATTTTGAGGAGTCAAATTAGGATGAACGGATCATATAAACCCGAAGGCAAATATAATACAAGACCAAACGAAAAAATATAAACAAGTCTAAATTGAAAACAACGTTCAAACCTATGATTGCGTTGGATAAAAACCGCCAATTTTATACGTGTGCATGCAAATCAAATTTCATGGTAGAGGGGTCTAAATACAGCACAAACAACATTTTCCAAAAGACCAAATGAGTGAAAAAGTATATTTTAACAAAACGCATTTGACTAGCAGGTCGAACAACGGATGTTCTTAAACCCTGCTGACTGCTATTGGCGATTGCCTAATAAACTTGCGGAAAAGATGGTATACCGCAAACAAAAGGTGCACAAATTAGTACACCATATCCGGATTTCGACAATTAATGTCTCTTCAGTGATGTTAGGAATCGAAACGGTATTTGGAAGGCCATATAATTTACCTCAATTTAGGATAGACTCTTGAATTTTAAAGAGTCGCAATATGATGAACGGATCATATAAACCCGAAGGCACATATAATACAAGCCCAAACGAAAAAAAATAAACAAATCTAAATAGAAAACAACGTTCAAACCTATGATTGCGTTGGATAAAAACCGCAATTTTTATACGTGTGCATGCAAAACAAATTTCTTGGTAGAGGTGTCTAAATACAGCACAAGCAACATTTTCCAAAAGACCAAAAAAGTGAAAAAGTATATATTAACAAAACGCATTTGTCTAGCAGGTCGAACAACGGATGTTCTTAAACCCTGCTGACTGCCATTGGCGATTGCCAAATAAATTAATTTCTAGTTTTAACGAAATGGATCTTAATATTAATTTAATACCAAACAGAAAACAATAAATTTGCGGAAAAGATTGTATACCACAAACATGAGGTGCAAAAATGTGTACACCATATCCGGGTTTGTATATGTGTGAGTGATAATGTTAAAGACGATATGTGTCTATGAAATTACATATCATTTTAAGTAACTGAACATTTTGAACACTAAATATTCAAATGACTTTGTTTTGACTATCTCAATTATTAAAATACATATTATCTTTGGCCATTCAATTTTTTAATATTTATCTATTGTAACCATTGCAGGGTGGCTAGTGATGATATTCTTATCTGACAAAAATATTATGAAAATATATAATAATCAATAGATATACTTGGTAAACACTGGAATTCTTTCGACCACTTTCCTGTCGGCAGACATCGAGTGACAAAACTTCCTGAATGTGTAAAGTTTTCAGAACATACTACAGTATGTACTCTTCCATACTTGTTATCGGTTATCAATCGATATGGAATGTGTACATATGCATTATCAAAATCAGGAACTCCACAATCTGCAACAATAGAAAAAAGCGTTTCAACTTAATAAAAAATTCTGATTTATAAAAAACGCTTATATAAAAACAATTGGCATGCTCTTTCTTTGATGTGTGATCTAAAAGATTTCCCAAAATGTTTATAAGATGGTTTTATTGTAAACATCAACCCTATAGGTATAGCTGATTAAAAAATTCTCATATGCAGTTCATCCGCTTTTATTTCTAACATTTTGATATTTGGTGATTACACAGTCATTACTAACCAGTTCACTAAATTACTAATGGGATCTTTCAAACAAATGTCAAAGCGGTCTTCTTTCGGTGTATACGTATGTATAATCTAGTGTTCTGTGGTGGTGTAATCCCTTAAACAACTTAATTTGGTCCCTTCTCTTTAGCTCACATGGACTGAAAAGCCATGAGTACTTTTGTTATCACTTCGCGTCGTCCGATTTTACGTGCCGGTCGTTAAGGTTTTTCAAAGATCATCCACTCTGATGACACAGAACCAATCACATTAGGCCTAAATGATTGTTGCGGTATTTAGTATAAAGTTCGAGTTTTTCATACCGGTTTGTCAACAAACATGGTCGCAATGTCTTTAAATCACAGATAACGTAAAATGCGTTAACTTTCTTATAATCAGAATGTCAAGATCTTCCTACTTTTTATTTTCACCAAAATGTATTGATGACTCCTTAAAAACTTGTTTCCCTTAAATGACGATTTTTACTAATTATCTTTAAAAAATATTCAACAATACAAGATCTTCAAAATTAGTTATTGTCCTTAAATTGTTCATGAATAAAATGCTAATTAATAATGTTGAAGAGTGGCCATTGTTGAATATTCACAAAGAATCAGAAGAGTGACACATGCTTTTAAGAGCCCCTTGTTTAGTTTATAGTTTGATAGGTGTGTGATTAATGTAAAAGAGGCAATAAACCAATAACAAAGTCACAATAGGGAACAATATACAAATCAACATGAAGAATGTTGTGTCGTTAAATTGCTGATCGTTTACCCAAAATGATAAATACATGTACACTGTTTTTGATAAAGATCAACACAGTTTTTTTATATCATATGTTTAAAACTGTCAAAAGGTTCTGACAATTTAGGAGATCTGCATTTATCGTGTTCATTTTTCATATTTAGCAACATGTAGTTGAATGATTGATTGATTAGCTATCCTCATTTCCCCCAAATGTATAACATTACGGTTAACCACACAGAATGACAAGTAAATTGATTTTTGATTTCGCATCACTATTTTTTTTTATTCAAAAAGGAACTGTTACTGATCTTTTGGAGCAAGGATTATTCACCATTTTGGGAAGAATCTGATAGTTAACTTAGTTCAATCTAGCTTTTTTTCGATTTTGTTTTTTCTGCATGGTAGTGTTTAATGTATTTTGTTTGTCTTCGCTTCTCTGTTCTTTATGCCATGATTTTGTTTCTCGTTCTTTGACTTATTACTTTTGATTGGTAGCTATTTTGTATGTTCTTAATTTGTTCCAATTGAATCTCTTATAATTATTCACCATATATTCTCATGGAACAATCTTCATCATAATCACCATCTAGATCAAAATCCATGACGTATTTGTTTCTTTCTCCAACATAGGAAGGGATCTCTATAAGGAAATTGTAAAAGAATGAAAAAGACGGTTTCGGAGACGCACGCAATGTGTGCTTTGTACACAAGTTGTTTGTAACTGTAATAAAATTTATGCTACTAACGAAACGGCTCATTGTTATTTGTTTGTCATCTTTTTTATAATATACTATTTTATTCCTTTATTTGAAAATGTAGATCCTGTCGAATGTATTTATATTATAATATTAAAAATAAAAAACCCATTAGAATGAAATGATGCTGATCAAATAATATAATGAAAGATTTTCACACTTCGCCGTGAAACAATATTTTCCAGTAATGCGTTTTTTGCATCATGATTAATGTTTCAGGTCATCACATACATATATATGAAACGAATTAAGTTTAATTGAAATGAATTACACGAGTACATCATCAGATGATTGCCAATGAGACAATAAATTATCAACCAGAGACTAATAAAAAGAACCCAACGTGAAAAAATGTTACAACATCCAAAGAACATAATGTTACAATCTTACGACAAATCAAACGCCCTGATTTTTATGCTAAAAACAGTTAAACAAAAACAAATATGACAGTAAGTAATTGCAACCAACAAAAACCACAGGAATACATACTCATTACTTGGCAGCTGCACATAATGAATGTGGCGGGGTTGTTTTAGAGCACTCAACCCTCCCTAACCTTGGGACAGTAATTTAACAGCACATCACATTAAGAACAACATGTAAAACTCGGTTGGAAAGGACTTGAATTTTCATATTGACACAAACAAACAAAATCAGAAATACAAAAGTCATAAATTACCGATCTATGAGCACCCGCAGTTACAGATAGCTAGTTAAATTAATAGATGAATAAGGCTTCCTCAGATTGAAAAAAAATCAATCAGTACACATTCAACAGAGTTAGCGTAAAAACTTTATAAATAGTCTGCAAATAATAGCATGACCTAACTATAAGTAACGACAGAATATATATATATATATATATATATATATATATAGCACAAGTGTGCCTAATTGCTAGCAATACATCCAGTTAAGTTTTAATTTCTTAGAAACGAGATTAATATATTAAATACAGATAAAGACAATATTCAACGATCTTAGTAAAGTGTTGAATTGATTACCTCAAAGAAGACTTTTATTCAAAGGATCAGTACATTTACGTGAATCTTGTATTAATGTACGGGCTCTACAAACAACATCACCGTTCAATTAGGGTGTGATATCCTGTTTGTAAAACGGTCTCTACATGTACAATCAATTCCGATCATATTTTTGCATCTTGAAATATTTTAATACAAGTTTTAATTAAGAGTGATAACAAAATGCCTGTCTTAAAATTTCACTAGTTATTCATAGATAACGGTTATTGAACTCAAACATCACCACACCGTATGAGTTATATCCAAAACAATGATTGCTGTTCATATAAGATTAAGTTGAAGGTAGTTTCTCTTGGTAAAATTAGACATGAGTTGTTTATCCAAAGCAAACATAGCATCAAGGTAACGGTAACTGTTATCAATTCAACAAACCTCAAAACTGAAAAGACATCTAGAAGTCAATTTAGCTTCTTCAACAATAGTCACGTATCAATACAATTTGACAAAAACCTTCTTACCTTTTCTGTTAATAATCCACAATCGACTGTCATGTGTAAGGGAAGCTACATATATATCTTGAATCATGTTTGAATAGCCCATGGGAATTTCTATAAACTGATTGACACCTACATTGAGACCGGTTCCAAATGTTAATATATTCTGCATCCAGCTTATCCAAAATGATCCATATGAATTATTCATAAAACAATTCGAGACATCAAGTGTCTTGTTCATCAAAATATATTTATTTTCGTATTCCCATTTGCTCACTTTAACTTGGAAATCAATCAGTTGAATTTCATACAAGACTGTTCCTGCTAGCCGTGTTGGTATATCAGGCGTGCTGGTAGATAGATATAGTCTAACATCACGACATGATCTAACACTGAATGAAATGGACTTTTCTTGGTCCATATTGAAGCCATACATTTCTAACGGCAATGATCTTTTAAGAATGTCTTTAGTGGTATTTAGAAATTTTTCCATAACAATAGGTGCTTCTATTTTTATCTGGTTTATTTCATCTGCAAACAAGTGCACACAAATTACATTTCATAGTCAAGATTAGTGCGAAAACAGTTTTTTAACAAATCTTGTATTGATTTAAATGAAGTATTTTTTATATTATTAATATTGAATAAGGTTGCATTTTTAAAACAGTTTATTTGTTTAAGCATTCCAACTGTTGGGTTTTTTTTCGAGTGCCACCAATAAGTCTTAGGTTGAACAGTGGCAGTTCCAAAAAAATATCATGCTTCTGATTAAAATCGTCCAAAACAGTTTCTACTGTACGGGTGTTCATCACAGAATCATAATCTCGTCGAAAAATAGTTGGTACCTCGGGGGAACCACAAACTTGCTTTTCTCCTCATAGCCAGTAAATAAGTATATCATTGTACAAAAAGTACGGGAAAATGTTTGATTCCAGTAAATAGTTCCTACCTAGTAAATAGTGTTTGGAATTATCAATCGGGAAATAGTCTTTTCCAGACAGTTGCGTGAAATTGTCTTTAATATTAAATGGAAAATACATACACAGTTAATATTCTATGAAAGTGTCACAAAATTCAAAGTATTTCAATTATTAAGGTCTTTTTACAATGTTTTAGACTTTTTTCATTGCAAGGTATCAGTGTGTAAAGCCTGTATATACTATAACAGAACTGAGAATGGAAAGGGGAATGTATCAAAGAGACAACAACCCGACCAAAGAGCAGAAAACAGGCCAGGGCCACCAATGGGTCTTTAAGGCAGAGAGAAAATTCCGCACCCTGAGGCGGGATTCAGCTGGACTCTAAACAATAATTGCGTTACGCACGGTATTGGGTCTAAATTTCATTTGATCCTTCCTTGATGCATAATTAAGATAGAAACAAATCAATTCTACGTATAATTAAATAGATAACTGTCTTGATTCATCGTTTGAATCGAAATAAAATAAAAACTGATTTTAATAAATTTAGTGTTATGTTTTAATATGATTCCATGTTTATAATGTCGTTTTTTGACGTGTAAGACGTAACAACAAAAACCAACCATCCAAATCAAAACGATGAAAAAAGTACAAACTGCTGAATGGATTTCGATAAAATTTGTACAAGTGGGAAATAATAAGATCATGTCCATGATGTTTAACGGTAACGATAAATATCATATGTCAGTTCGAAGTCTAGTGGCCATTTTCAAAATTCAGTAGAGCTGTATGATTTTAAAATTCGAGTACACAAAAATGACAGCAACCAGTTCGATATTGTAATATTTTCACATAAATCATAGAAAAGGTCTGTCTCCTCAACGTTAAAATGTGATTTTATTTGATTTTACAGTAAAATATTCATATTGAACACATATCATTTCAATATTTTTCAACATTGTCCGTGTCTCCGTTAAATGTTACCAAAGATCCATTGTTCAAGTTTTTCCAGATTGTCAGATAAATTCTAATAGTATCATGCAAAAGGTTACTTAATATATTTTATGCAAAAAAATGTGTTTTGGGCGCGAAGTCTGGTTGAAAAATTGCCAAGCACGATTCTCTTAATATAATCATGCGATTTTCATGTGCTAATTTACGTAAAATTATTGTGTAAATTACCGGGAATTTTCGGATAATTGTATGTATAAAAAAAAAGATGTAGTATGATTACCAATGAGACAACTCTCCACAAGAGACCAAATGACACAGAAATTAACAACTATAGGTCACCGTACGGCCCTCCACTATGAGCAAAGCCCATACTGCATAGTCAGCTATAAAAGGCCCCGAAATAACAAATGTAAAACAATTCAAACGAGAAAACTAACGGCCTAATTAATGTACAAAAAAATGAACGAAAAACAAATATATAACACAGCAACAAACGACAACCACCGAATTACAGGCTCCTGGCTTGGGACAGGCACATAATACAGAATGTGGCGGGGTTAAACATGATAGTGGGATCCCAACCCTCCCCCTAACCTGGTACAGTGTTGTAACAGTACAACATAAGAGCGAACTATAAAATTCAGTTGAAAAAGGCTTAACTAATCAGATGGATACAAATAGAAATACATATAACAAAAAAACGTGGACGTGACCGGGTACTTGTACATCCCAACAATAAAAAGACACTAAGTACAGATCTGAGAGAACTCGCAGACACTGACAGCTACTTCAAAGCCAATAACAACTAATATAAATCAAAGTACTGAAGTACTGAACATCGGATGACCGCAAGTTTTTGTGGATGGTCAAAAACACTTGTCTCAGAAAAAAATCACATCTCTAAACCTGAAACTGAGATTAAAGTACAGAGATATATTTTTTTCTGAGACAAGTTCGTGCGTGGATGACGAATAAATGACAGGAAATTCAACCTCACCGTAATAACTATTATATTGTAGTGATACAAATCAGTATACACTGGTTTGTTGTTATATACTAGTATTATATTAATATAACAGTTACATGTATATATATTGTCCCGCAAAAACAATCTTTCGTGCAGAGTTACCGATCCTTGCGGGGATTGCCGAGATATTCTTCCGCATGCGTTAACACAATTTTTCGGTACGTGTGCATAGATATTATCAATGAGTTTTTACTTATATATATATATATCTAGCGACAAAACACTTTCCTATTATTGATTGATGTTCTAAACAAAATATATTTATCAGTATTCATTGAAGAGACGTATTCAGTTTATGACAAACAATAAGGAATGTTATTTTGCACTCGTAAATGTGCGCGTATTTATCATGTATATAGATCGGTTACAAAACCAAAACGAAAGTTACATAATAGAAATCTAGGCGATAGCAATACATCGGAATGCCCTCACGGTCATCGCGATGTAAAAATCATACATCTAAGACTAAATTATCAATCAGTACACATCCAACATCCAATGGATTTAGTGTAAAGACGTCATAAACAGTCAGAGAAAAACATGACCTTGTGCAATGCCAAGATACAGGAGTCGACAGATTGTAGATCCATGAATGAAAGTGCATATGTATATAACAATAATATTTAGTTTGCAGCATATTCCTTAATAACACCGAAGCTTTTGTTTTCGGAACCTAGTTATACAGATACACACTTGTCATTGCTAGTATGAGCCGTGTTTGTTTTATACACATACAGTCATTTCCACGCTTCCGACAAACAAACGCATGTGAAGGACTGTAAATCATTTTATAGTTTAAAATAAACAATTCCAATTTAAATTTTTCATTCCAAAATCTAAAGAAGAAATTGAAATTAAAGATCTAGTTAAAATAGCATATATAGTTGTTGTTGCTGTTGTTGATCGGAACGAGGATTATTTTTCATTAAAAGCTTCTTGAAAGACACATATTTTAGATGTCGTAGAACAGAAAAACGGTCGCTCATTTGCTAAAAGTCACTGAAATTATTCGCGAACTATAGTATGACAAATTAACAATCGAAGGCGGTATAAATTTTAAACTCTTGAGCACAAAACAGCTTTGGTACCGGCTGTTTCCACGCGACATTTATGCTTACTTAGATACTTGTGATGACGGAATCATGACCATGCTAGAGGATACGCATTTTGTAATAATTGACAGTCTTGGGCAGTGACAAATATGTGACATCTACGCTTTAAATAAGAAAAGATTATGAAGTTTTATAGGCGAAAAATATTTAAAAAGAAAATGTTTTCTGTGTAAAAAGTGAAAATTTCTGACGATTGGTACAGCAGTCGGTCAAAATTAAAGAAAAACGATGTTGCGTAACGTTACCATTACTAAACTAAATACCGTGCATAACGTCATTAAATATACATAGTAGTTCACTGAAATTGTCGCCAGACACACACATGTCAAGACTAACAAAGGCTAGAGGTTCTTGACTTGGAACAGACGAATAAATGCGGCGGGGTTAAACATGTTTTGTGAGATCTCAACCCTCTATACAGTACTTTTAATATGGTACTGTGGATTCATTTATTTTCGTGGGTACCAATTTTCGTGGTTTGAGGAAAACTTGCATATTCGTGGATATTTAATTTCGTTGTTTTGGCAAAGTCTGCATACATTCCTTTAGGAAATTTGTAATTCGTTGAACGTTTAAATTCGTGGTTCCTCTGTTCCCACGAAATCCACGAAAATTGGTATCCACCGAATATTAATGAATCCACAGTAATAAATCAAATATATAACTACCCATGTTGTTGCAGTAATCATTAATTCATTAATTTTTTGCAATTTATATCATTTAGAAGGCTGCATGGTGACCTATAATTGCTTATATCTTCGTCATTTTAACTCGGGTAGATAGTTGTCTCAATGGCAATCATACCGCATCTCTTTTTATATTGATATTCTAAAGTAAAACATTGTCATACAGTGATATTATATGAACAAGACCTTTTATTTTTTCATATCAGATATATCATCAGCCATCTAAACTTTGACTTTAGAGTTGATATCATGACCTAGGTCTTATAATACATGTACATCTAATATGAATACTGTCATGGTATAATCCTTTTTAGTATCTTCCGCCACTCTTTTAGAATCTTATATCATTACCTGTTAAATGAATTATCCATTCAACATCAAGATCGCTCAATGATTTTATTCCCACGTTATAAATTCTAAACGGCATCTCGGTGTCCAAATGTTTTTGCCATTCCACCAGTTCCATTTCACCAACATGTTCTCCTTCGCCGATTCTTATTTCACCGTAATCATTCCACTGAATCCAGAAACTCGTAAACTCATTACAATTCATTGTTGAAATTTCTCTACTTTTCTGACTTCCTGGTCCGCCCGACGACCATTTTCTCCATGTGATCCTTGTTCCATTTTTATCACCAAACATAATTTCATACATAAACCAGGTATTTATGTCATAATCATTAAAGTCAAATCCATTACTTGATGACAGGTAAACAAATGCACTGTGGCATGTCCTTACGTGAAATTTGAACGAATCAGTAAAGCGTGCATCGTATTCAAGTTCACCTAAAGGTTGTATTGAAAAATAAACATCGCTAGGGTTAAACCAATCTATCTCAGTGCTATTGGATGTATATATACGTAGTGTCCTTCTTTGTCCTGCCAAACAAATTAAAACAAAATGAGAAGACAAATGTTCAGTTCATTAAACGGACAATACAAGTATTTGAGGAGTTTAATATTGGATTCAAACGATAGTTTTTCTAACGCATTTAAATTTATCATAACATTAAACAACTATAACACAACACAGCACATCACATAATACTAACATTCCAGCAGCATGAACCCTTTCAAAAACCAGGGTTCAACACATGTGCTCCGGAGGAGTAAGTAGATTCTACTCTAAATATTGATTAACAACCATGTACATATACTACATGTCGTTATCATTTGAATTTTCTAAAATGAACTTTTTGACGATGAAAAAGCTTTCACTTGACATTATAAATTATAAATTCATTTCATATTCAAACAAACTGTGATACATTTTGAATTTAGAGGTCATTACAAACAAAAGTAAGTATTACATGTAAAAATAAAGGATTTACCGCAACAAGATTTAATTGTAGGTTCTTCAGTTAGAAAAATTATCAAACAATTGGACCAAGAAATTTAAAATACATCTACAATAATTAAAAGTAGGATAAAAACTAACAGAGCTCACGAATTAATACCATATTACCCCTTATTTGTTAAGACATGGTAAAGGTGATATTTTGTAATAAAAAAAGAACGAATTGAAAAAAGAAAAAACAGAAGATTCTGCTCCATTAGTAGCACCCGTCGTGTTACTCATTTAATTTAAGATACATTCTCATTTTGTCATTGCATGTTTGTCAATCAATCATAAAATCTTAGCCTTAATTTACTGTTGGATTTAAACTAGATATAATTTTTTTGGGATGATTTTAAAATATTTGGATTGGTTGATGATGGCCAACAGAATTAAATTAGATCAATGTCTTGACGTTGCATCCACAATTAAATTGATTTTATTCGTTTAAACTCCTGAATTGCGATATTAATCAAATTAGTGAAATCTCATTACCAGCATTATAAGAATATAGTGCACACAGCTCTTCCTTGTCTAACCCGTCACAGTCCCTATCAGGTTCTAAACCATACAAACATATCTAAATAAAAAAGAAGAATGCACATCCTATGACAAATCATTAGCATAATACAAATGGATAATTCACCTCGTTTAGCCTTTCTGTAGTTCCAAAAACCCTGTCCTACCATTAGAACCCCTATATATGATTACATTGTGTTGATCAATGTAACAAAAAAACGATGATTAGTCGACTTTGGTAGTGTTATGAAAAATCAAAGAAAAGAAGACGGAATTGCGATTACACCAGATTGAACGTATCTGTGGTCATCTCGGACTTATATATTCAATAACTAGCAACCACATAACGATTGCGCTAGTGAAAAGTTCGTAGGAATGATTTCAACTTTACCATTTGGAAATTATGATGGGAATAGCAAGCCTTAGAATGTCGTCTCATCTGGAAAATATGTACTGGAGGTGATCGAATGATGCTACAGAGGAAAGGAAATTTCACAATGGGAAATTAAATCATCTTTTTTGTTTTTAAATTTAGGACACATCCAACTTACATTGTCAATTTCTAGATGTAAGTCAAGAAATGAAGAAAATTTCATTGTATTTGTTGTATATCTTATTTAAAGTTCAGTAAGATATATGTAGTCTACGTAGCCACTAAACTTTGAATTATTTAGAGAAGTGACATACATTTTACCATTGAATAACAATTGCTTAATTGAAAGTCAAGTAGAAAATTCTTTTAGACAATATACAAAAGGCTGATGAGAGCCTGATATCGCTCACCTGTAATTTCAGTTTCAGGCATTTAACTTATTTGTAGATCTTACTTTGCTGAACAATTTTGTCATTTACACTTTCTTTCTTTCTATAATAATATTAAATATAATACATAACCCAAAACTGTAAAATGTCCTTAAAAATTAAATATTTCTGGACAGTAACCCAACAATAAGTTGTCCTATTGGTCTGAAGATTACTTGTCAGGTAGATCTAACCTGTTTAACACTTTCGCCTATGTCATTTTTGCTCTTACTGCTTTAGTTTTTGAGATGAAAGCCAAAAACTTCATTTGACCCCTATGTCCTATTTTTAAAAACTGCCGTCATGTTTTTGAATGGACCAAATCCGCGAGTACAATCAATAAACGAGATGCCCTAAGGAAAATTCAATTACAGTTTTTAAGTATTTGGCCAAGTAGTTTCAGAGAAGAAGAATTTTGAAAAAGTAATTAGACTGTCACAAAAAATGTAAAAAGAAAAACGTTTTAAGGGCAATAACTCCTCAAAGGGTCAATTGACTATTTTGATCATATTGACTTATTTGTAGATCTTACTTAACTAAACATTTATTGCCATTTATACTTTCTCTCTATCTATTATAATATTAAATAAAATAACCAAAAACAGTAAAAGTTTTTGAGATAAAAGCCAAAGACTGCATTTGACCTCTATGTTATATTTTTAGCCATGGCGGCCATGTTTGTTAATGGATCAAAACTTCGGATACAATTTATAAACCAGTTACCCTAAGGAACATTCAGTTAAAGTTTAGAAGTATTAGGCCTAGTAGTTTCAGAGGAGAAGATTTTTAAATGTTAGCAAACATGATGAACAAATTGTGTAAAATTATCCTTAAAGGGCAATAACTCCTTAAGGGGTCAATTGACAATTTTGGTCATATTTTACTTTTTTGTAGATCTTACTTTGCTGAACATTTTTGCTGTTTACAGTTTATCTTTATCTTCAATAATATTCAAGATAATAACCAAAAACTGCAAAAATTCCTTAAAATTACCAATTTAGTGGCAGCAACCCAACAATGGGTTGTTCGGTTCGTCTGAAAATTTCAGGGCTGATAGATCTTGACCTATTGAATATTTTAACTCCGTCAGATTTGCTCTAAATGCTTTAGTTTTTGATATATGATCCTTTTGACCCCTATGTTCTATTTTTAGCCATGGCGGCCTTGTTTGTTGATGGACCAAAACTTCGAATACAATTTATAAACTAGATACCATAAGGAACATTCAGTTAAAGTTTGAAGGTATTTGGCCCAGTAGTTTCAGAGGAGAAGATTCTTGAAATAGTTTACGACGACGATAGACGACGGACGCCAAGTTATGGCCCGGTAAGCTAAAAAGCAGATAACACTGATAACACTACCATAACTTAAGTTACGTCATTAGGGGCATATTTAACTTAAGATAGCTTTTAAAAACTAAGAATGTGCACACGATTGTATCTTTTTTCTCAATTCATCTTTTTGTTACTGCTTGATTACAATTTGAAATGAACAAAATTGTGCATAATGGTGACTTATTAAAAAGTCAATATTTAACAGAAAATTAACAAAAAGAATAGAAAAACACAAAAACCAAGTTTATGTTGTATAATCATTTAATTGTTTCATTCGTTTCGAATGAAAATCGTAAGTCGAAGAATGCCAAACATAAACATGTGCAAAAGAAACAAGGAAACCAATAACATACAAAACAAAACTCATGAAAACATCCAAGACTTAAAAATACCACTTTATGACTCTCGTTCGTCCGATGCGCTTTTCTTTTTAGCTTCATCAGAAAAGCTCAAACCTAAACATTTGAAAGCCAGTGATGCAAGAATACATAGCAACGTTAGAAGATGATGATGATGATGATGATGATGGATGGCTGCTTAACGTCCAACAGCAAATTAATATGCATATTCAGGACGAGAACATTAATGTAATATGAAATTTAGCCCTGCTTTGTACTAGATCGACTCACTGAGCCGGATTCTAACGGGCTAGTTCACAAGGTTACAGTCCGCAGGAAGACATGTCACCTTACCCGGACACATTATTCTGACTCCGATCTGACCAGTCTTTGCTTTTACTCCTTAATGCAGCGTGCTTAGTGGAGAAGCACCAAATACCAATTTTAAAGCCTTTGGTTTGACCCGGCCGGGGTTCGAACTCACGACCTCCCACACTCGAGGCGAACACGCTACCACGAGACCACCGAGGCGGTATGCAACGTTAGAAGGTAAATAACCAAATTAAAAGGGGTCTTAAAAGAACAGACAAATTCATCTAAGGTCAACTTTACCTGAGAAGTTGAACCTAACTAATGAGCTAATTATACCTTCGTGGACTAACAGTCCACCAGCAGTGGTATCGACACGGCGCGAGTGCATGAAATTGATACTGTGTATGTCCAAACAGGAACGCTAAAATTCACACAATTGAAAGTCGGGGATATTTTAATATATAGCAACGTTAGAAGCGCTTTCCTCGATGAACGCTAAATTTTAAATATTTGAAAGCCAGTGATACGACCGTCAAGAACTGGAAGTGAACTAGTCTAAGATGCTAACGTTTAAACTGTTCGTGTTTCTTTTGTTTTATTTATGTTTTTGCAATATTCGTGTCTAGAGGTAACAGTCTGTCTATTCATCAAAATTACGTGCGGTCTGATGTTAAGGGTAGACTACTCATACTGTGATGGTGAATGGAATTGGTGATGGTGTATGCCTAACCAAGAATTTTTTATTAATCCGTTATTGTATGATCCGTAGTAAATAATTGATATGAGTTACCAATGTATTTTACCAGGATCAACATAGCGGATGTCACTAGTGGAGATCAGGATATCGTGACACTTCCACAATACCGGAGTATAACCCATTGTTTGCTGAGGTTCGTGTTGCTCAATCTAGTTTCCTGTGTAATTTTTGATTGAGTGTTGATCCTTTTTTCATGTTTTCTTTAGATTTGGTTAGTTTGCCATTCTATTGCTGTCTCAATGACACTAGAAAGCGTCGGCGGCATATAGGAATCCACATGTCCATCCGTCTGGTACTTGTTTGTTAGATTTTTTTTTCTCCAGAGGATAAAAAGAGAACCCTTTTCAAATTAATCGAAATTTTAATGTAATTAAATGTTTTCGACCACTGAAGACAGATTTAGTTCGATTTTAGTGTCGTTTTCTCTTTTAACGTTCCAAAGTTGTGGTACTTGATTGTTGGAAAAAAATTAAATTGTAGTTTCCGGATAATAAAAGGAGAACCCTTTATAAAATTTATTGAATTATTAATGTTTAAATCCACTACACACAGATAAATTTCGATTTTCGTCGTTTTTGCTTTTACCGTTCCAGAGTTTGAAGAAAATGATTGTTAGAAATATTTTGCGGTTGCTGGATAATCTATGGACTCCTTTATGAAATTGTTGAAATTTTAATGGGATGTTTGGGCAACTAAATATTCCTTTTAAAATTAAATACATGCGGTTTGTTTTGTTTGTTTGTCTTCACATCGACTGTCAGGTGAGCACCTGACTCGAATCGAAATAAAGAAAAGATAACATTCAGGTAAGGTATGTTTCTATTGTCATCATTGAACTCCACTGTTTGTATATATACTGCCTTTGAACTATGGCAAAATATAACAACATCATATTAAATTTCATAGTATGAAGTTACAAAAACACAATCAGAATCTCTCTGCGAGTCAGGGTATCTGTGATCACTAAATTACTTCTCCAGTTCTAATAGTAGCAGTAATCGAAATTAATTGACTGAACATATTTTACATATACACTTTTCCCCGAAATAATTAACAGCACGCTTTCAAAGCACCAATGAAAATCCCGTTTCTTTAGTTTAGATAATGAAAATATGTATAGAACTTGAAACTTGACATAGTTTTATTTTTTAGTGATGTGTTTGATGTTGTTTATATAATTTTGCTGAATTTGTATTTGTAAAATATGTATCCTTCATGTACTCCGCTACTACTTACCTTGTTTGGTTCCAAGTAAAGACCAGCTGTACTGCCAAACAGTCCGTTTGTATGCATTATATATCCTGCCTCGTTTTCATCTAACGAAACAATGTATGATGAGTCTTCATTTATATATAGCGTAATTTCCTCATTACCAGTTATCATATTTGTAAAATTAAACTTTGTGTTTTCGTTTCCACTGACAAACACTTCATTAGCTGTGTAAAAAGCAACTGAATCAAAACTGTTAAACGACGAAATAAAATATGTATCTTTTGTGTGTTGTTTTGACGTTACCACAATTAAACTTATGTCCTTTCCACTGGCAAATTCTAGTAAAACTAAAACCTCCTTCGATGTAGCAATTTGCAAATTTTCTATCAGTTGTCCTCCTGTGAAATTTCCTGGATAGTTAAGAAATTCTGTAAATGATGTATTGTTTGTGGATAAAATGGAAACTGCTGTCCAATGCTGTACGGCAATAATCTTAACGGATGATGTAACAAAGCCGTTAGTACCATAATCGTCTAATGAAAGGTAGTCGGTCCTAATGTTAAAATCAAAACCGAACGTGTTAACTGGAGGGAACTGTTCAATAGTAGAAAAGGTTCCCTCAATATTGTCAGTTAATGAGTGGTAGCCACAGAATACCGCCACTGCTTTATCAGTTTTGATCATGGTACCAGTTAAGTCATCAGTCGAAGTAAATACCAATGAAGTATATCTAACCAAAATTTTACTTATTTTCATATTGTTAGTGTACACAGAATTTTTGTTGCCAACAACACTAACCGTTATTGGTTGTTCAAGGTCAGGTAACATGACGTCAACCGTTGTATCACTATGTATGGCGGAAACTGAACATGTTGACAAACTGCTGTTATGCCAAAATAACCCAACAACATACTCAGTACCAAGCACATTAACTGGGTAATTCAACATAACTGCAGCATTGTTTCTTCCACTCAATACCTTTGTACGGAGACTAATATCAATAGGTGATGTGACAAGTAAGACTTGATTATATGGTTCATTGATGGTAATTATCTTCTCTACAGCATATGGGTTATTTAGATTGTTATTGACTTCCATTTCCATTGTTGACTCGACCATTCCATTTTTGATCACTTGAATTTCAATGTTTATTTTGGCGAGTGCTGAACCATCGTCTGCCATGGCAACAAGGTGTACTTTAGTTTCAATTGTATTGTTATGCACTGCTACGAGGAATTTTTTTCCGCCATTATCCATATCGGCAAGTCTTTTTCCTAAAAGAATTTTTATCAGTAAGAATATAAATCAAGAGATGTGGTATGATTTCTAATAAGACAACTATATCTCCACCAGAGGCTAAATGACATATGTTAGCAACTATAAGTTACTGCACGACTTTCAACAATAAGCAAATATCATACAGCATTACAAGCTTTAAAATGCTTCGACATAACAAAATATAAGCGAGAAAACCAACGGTCTGATTTACGTACAAAACAATAGACGAAACTAATGTACGGCAATAAAGACAACCACTGAATTAAAGGCTCCTGACTAAGGGCATATAAAAGACAAAACAATGGCGGGGTCAATCATGTTTGCGGTGCCAAGTCCTCCCTCTAAACCGAAGTAGTGGTGAAAATGCCTGCTTTATTTAATTTTCATTTCGTGGACATTGTTTTTTTTTTTGTATTTTCGCAAACCTTATTCTTTAATTTCTCAGTTTATTTTAATGGATATGTCTTAATTGATTATGTCGTTGATATGCGCCTCGACTTCACTCAATTCTATCCATATAACTGTTTTCATTAAATGCGTATTAGTTTTCAAACAACTGAAAGATTGATAAAAAAAACTAATTTAAACGATTAAAGCTGAAGATATTTATCAGCTAATGAGATATTAGTTTCATAGATAATCTAACATTTTTCAAAGTCATAGCCCATGAAATACAACTTCATTTATGTTTCAACAATTATTTAATCATTCCTTCACATGTTTAGACAATTTTTCCATGAGAAGATACAGGATTTCTAAAAAGGGACTCAAAAACTTATCAACCTCAAGTCACTCTTATCGATAATAATCTTTTCTCTTATACTATATTAACACTGTCTGATGAGTCGTAAGTAGACCAAATGCGCGTTTGACATACACCATCATAAGACTGGTTTCTTTGAATAGACCTTACTATTAGAGTTTCCCAAAGGAATCTTTCTATGAAAACATATGCCAATCGGGATGACCTTTACCTTTCTTTTGTTAATTTCTAGGTAGTTATGTATAATTGGTTCCTTCTTTATACATCGTAAAGATTTCGGTGAGTTCGATTGGTGCGTGTTTCCAATGAAATTGCGGATTTCAATGCATGTTATATATTTTTATAACTGAAAAACTGGCATGAATATGTCATTCTTTTTTTCACAATTTTTAATAAAATATTATTTCAATTGCAGGAATTTAGACGTTAAAAAAGAAGCATTTCACGCCCAGCTGTTCGAGGTTATAACTTTCTCATAAAGCTAACCACTTATAGCAATTGTCATTTATTTTATTTTTTTTTTTTTTTTACTAAATGAACTAATTGAAAACATTTTAAATTAACAATGTTGTTCATTCAATGTCTCTGATATATTTGTGGATGTATTTTTGTGGATTTACATCTATTCGCTAAAGAATAGTTTAAAATATTCTTTTATCTATGCATCAAAATTCAAAAAAATTTTATGTTGGGCATTGTAAAAGATTGTGTCATCATGTATATCATACGTCTTTTTAATGGAATCTTTTCCTATTCGGAAGAACTCCAATTGTAATTAAGATTTAAAATTCATGATTCCATATCAGTAGGTTAAGTATTTTGAGCTCGCATTCAATAAGTGCATTTATAAACCTTGCTCTTTCTTAAAGGAACATATCTCCTCCCGTGAACATACTGAAGGTTGTTTATGCTGGTGCGAGACTCTTCGACAATAAAAGAGCGTCTAGATTGGGGATCCTTCATTTCTGTAATCTGTAATTGTTTTAGGCCATTTTTCTCTATTCTTTATACTTTTTGCCCATTATTCTCTATTCTTTATATTTTAGCACCTCATTATTCTCTATTCGTTATTATTTTGGTCGATTATTCTCTATTCTTTATATTTTAGCACCTCATTATTCTCTATTCTTTATTGTTTTGGTCCATTTTTCTCTATTCTTTATTATTTTGGTCCATTTTTCTCTATTCTTTATTATTTTGGTCCATTATTCTCTATTCCTTATATTTTAGCACCTCATTATTCTCTATTCTTTATTATTTTGGTCCATTTTTCTCTATTCTTTATATTTTTGCCCATTATTACATTTTTACATTTAACACGTCATTTTTCTCTATTCTTTATATTTTAGCACCTCATTATTCTCTATTCTTTATATTTTAGCACGTCATTTTTCTCTATTCTTTATATTTTTGCTCATTATTCTCTATTCTTTATATTTTAGCACCTCATTATTCTCTATTCTTTATTATTTTGGTCAATTTTTCTCTATTCTTTATTATTTTGGTCCATTATTCTCTATTCTTTATATTTTAGCACCTCATTATTCTCAATTCTTTATTATTTTGGTCCATTTTTCTCTATTCTTTATATTTTTGTATTTTTGCACCTCATTATTCTCAATTCTTTATTATTTTGGTCCATTTTTCTCTATTCTTTATATTTTTGTATTTTAGAACCTCATTATTCTCTATTCTTTATATTTTAGCACCTCATTTTTCTTTATAATATATTATTTTGGTCCATTTTTCTCTATTCTTTATATTTTTGTATTTTAGCACCTCATTATTCTCCATTCTTTATATTCTAGCACCTCATTATTCTTTATAATATATTATTTTGGTCCATTTTTCTCTATTCTTTATATTTATTGCCCATTATTCTCTATTCTTTATATTTTAGCACCTCTTTATTCTCTATTTTTTATATTTTAGCACCCCATTATTCTCTATTCTTTATATTTTTGCCCATTATTTCTATTCTTTAAATTTTAGCACCTCATTATTCTCTATTGTTTATTATTTTGGTCCATTTTTCTCTATTCTTTATGTTTTTGCCCGTCATTCTCTATTCTTTATTATTTTGGTCCATTTTTCTCTATTCTTTATATTTTAGCACCTCATTATTCTCTATTCTTTATATTTTAGCACCTCATTATTCTCTATTCTTTATATTTTAGCACGTCATTTTTCTCTATTCTTAATATTTTTGCTCATTATTCTCTATTCCTTATATTTTAGCACCTCATTATTCTCTATTCTTTATTATTTTGGTCTTTCATTCTCTATTCTTTATATTTTAGCACCTCATTATTCTCTATTCTTTATTATTTTGGTCAATTTTTCTCTATTCGTTATAATTTTGGTCCATTATTCTCTATTCTTTATATTTAAGCACCTCATTATTCTCAATTCTTTATTATTTTGGTCCATTTTTCTCTATTCTTTATATTTTTGTATTTTAACACCTCATTATTCCCCATTCTTTTTATTTTAGCACCTCATTATTCTTTATAATATATTATTTTGGTCCATTTTTCTCTATTCTTTATATTTTTGTATTTTTGCACCTCATTATTCTCAATTCTTTATTATTTTGGTCCATTTTTCTCTATTCTTTATATTTTTGTATTTTAGAACCTCATTATTCTCCATTCTTTATATTTTAGCACCTCATTTTTCTTTATAATATATTATTTTGGTCCATTTTTCTCTATTCTTTATATTTTTGTATTTTAGCACCTCATTATTCTCCATTCTTTATATTTTAGCACCTCATTATTCTTTATAATATATTATTTTGGTCCATTTTTCTCTATTCTTTATATTTATTGCCCATTATTCTCTATTCTTTATATTTTAGCACCTCTTTATTCTCTATTTTTTTATATTTTAGCACCCCATTATTCTCTATTCTTTATATTTTTGCCCATTATTTCTATTCTTTAAATTTTAGCACCTCATTATCCTCTATTGTTTATTATATTGGTCCATTTTTCTCTATTCTTTATGTTTTTGCCCGTCATTCTCTATTCTTTATTATTTTGGTCCATTTTTTTCTATTCTTTATATTTTAGCACCTCATTATTCTCTATTCTTTATATTTTAGCACCTCATTATTCTCTATTCTTTATATTTTAGCACGTCATTTTTCTCTATTCTTTATATTTTTGCTCATTTTTCTCTATTCTTTATATTTTAGCACCTAATTATTCTCTATTCTTTATTATTTTGGTCTTTCATTCTCTATTCTTTATATTTTAGCACCTCATTATTCTCTATTCTTTATTATTTTGGTCAATTTTTCTCTATTCTTTATTATTTTGGTCCATTATTCTCTATTCTTTATATTTTAGCACCTCATTATTCTCAATTCTTTATTATTTTGGTCCATTTTTCTCTATTCTTTATATTTTTGTATTTTAGCACCTCATTATTCTCCATTCTTTATATTTTAGCACCTCATTATTCTCTATTCTTTATATTTTAGCACCTCGTTATTCTTTATAATATATTATTTTGGTCCATTTTTCTCTATTCTTTATATTTATTGCCCATTATTCTCTTTTCTTTATATTTTAGCACCTCTTTATTCTCTTTTTTTTATATTTTAGCACCCCATTATTCTCCATTCTTTATTGTTTTGGTTCATTTTTTTCTATTCTTTATATTTTTGCCCATTATTCTCTATTCTTTAAATTTTAGCACCTCATTATTCTCTATTGTTTATTATTTTGGTCCATTTTTCTCTATTCTTTATGTTTTTGCCCATCATTCTCTATTCTTTATTATTTTGGTCCACTTTTCTCTATTCTTTATATTTTAGCACCTCATTATTCTCTATTCTTTATATTTTAGCACGTCATTATTCTCCATTCTTTATATTTTAGCACCTCATTTTTCTTTATAATATATTATTTTGGTCCATTTTTCTCTATTCTTTATATTTTTGTATTTTAGCACCTCATTATTCTCCATTCTTTATATTTTAGCACCTCATTATTCTTTATAATATATTATTTTGGTCCATTTTTCTCTATTCTTTATATTTATTGCCCATTATTCT